TTACATACTCTTTAATCAGCAATTATTTCACCACTGATCTTTAAAAACAGACAGAGATCAGTTGAGCAAAGAGATGTCAGTGAGGCTTACGTGGATATGGGTGATGCTGATAATCAAAGTAATAACTCATTTCCCATGGTAAACTTTTAAACCTTATATGTGGGAGTAATGTTGTTTTTACATAAATAGATTAGATTGTAAATGTAGAGGTAGGCAGGGAATCTTTCAGTGGAACTGGAATAAAAAAAATTTAAATGCATTTTTTCCCCCCTTTTACACTTCACACTTTTACACTTTGGGGATAATCAATATCAATTTAAAATGCTATAACTTTATATATGGTTGTGATATGTGCAAAAGCAAAACATATTGTTGTTCAGGAAAACCTGTAGTATTCAGAGCTAAATGAAACAAATCAAGTAAAGAGTTCTCCTAGGCTTCCACACATGTAACTGTAGTTCTACAAAAGTGGTAGACCAAAAGGACAGTTCTCTTTTGGAACTAGTGGAGTTTTACTGTGTGCTCATTTCCTAGATGAGTGTGAGTACAAATAGCAAAATCATCACCTCGTGAGTTTGAACTCACATGTGTAGCTTATAAAAGGCCCTCACTACATCATGCCCATCCACTGGACATTTTAGTCAACCTGAGTGGTACAGTTGACAGTTCTTCACTTACTCATGGAACTACAGACATATGAGATTCAGTCATGGAAAGTACATTAGGATCTACATGCAAAGTTCTTTTGAATCTCTGCACTTAACTAAATTGCTGCTAATAGCTCTTGCATTTGGGTCATGAATGCAGTCAGGTCCTCTCAGTCGGCTTTGTCCCTTGAAATCCTTTATCAACTGCTGTTCTTCCTTTGATCTTGCCACAGAGGAACTTGCCTTCCTTTTCTTGCAGAGTCTGGGGAGGTTGCTAAATGCACCATAATCTGAATTATGCATGTGCTCTGGGCCCATCAGGGCTTGGAAGCACAAATAACTCACCATTGTGCCATGAAGTACAGGAGATTAAGAAAGTTATAATATTATAAGTTATAATATAATAAAATTATAATATTAATTACTAATATTAATTAATCACAACACTGCTGCACATCAGCAGCAAACAGAAGGCCGAATGTCACAACTAAATCATTGGTGAATATCGATAAATCACTGCTAATCATCACCCAAGGTGCAGGTCAACGGTCCTTGGTAATGCAAATTTTACCATAACATTCACTCATTCAGTTACTGGTTTGTCCTGGTCAGAGTCACAGTGGATCCAGGCATCACTGGAAAGAGGCCACTGCCATTAGAGAATATGCTGTATATAGGGAATATACTGCCAAAAACTGTAAATGTAAATGGTATGTGTCAAAGTAACATCCACATAAATGACAAGACCCAAGGTTTCCCAGCAGAACATTGCCCAGAACATCACACACTGGCTTGCCTTCTTCACATAGTACATCCTGGTGCCATCACTTCCCCAGGTAAGCAATGCACATGCACCCGGCCATACACACGATGTAACAGAAAACATGCTTTATCAGACGAGGCCTATTGTAGGCACTTTCGGCAGTCGACAGGGGTCAGCATGGACACCCTGACCACTCTGCTGCTACATAGCTCCATATGCAGCAAGCTGCAATGCACTGCGTGTTCTGGCACTTTTCGATCATAGCCAACATTAACTTTTGCAGCAATTTGTGCTACAGTAGCTCGTCTGTGGGTTTGAACCAGACAGGCTAGTCTTCACTGCCCACATGCATCAATAAGCCTTGGGTGCCCATGACCCTGTCACTGGACCATTCCTTGGACTATTTCTGGTAGGCACTTTTACACTTTTACTTTTACATTTATGGCACTTGGCAGATGCCCCTTATCCAGAGCGACTTAAAGAAGTGCTTTGAAGTCTCTATCAATAAATACATTCTGATACTGATTCGCTAGGTCACAGACTAAAAATACGATCAGTCTAAAAACTCTGTTGGGGAGGTAATATAGTAAAAAGCACTCAGACAATACAAAGTTTTAAGTGCTATTTTAAGTACTTTAGGAAGAGGTAAGTCTTTAGACAGTGTTTGAAGACTGCAAGTGACTCAGCTGTTTGGACATCTAGGGGAAGTTCATTCCTCCACCTAGATGCCAGAACAGAGAAGAGTCTTGATGCTTGCTTTCCTTGTACCCTGAGAGATGGTGGGACCAGTTGAGCAGTGCTAGAGGATCAGAGGGAACATGGGTTGAGTGTCATTCGCATAGCAGTAGTATGAAAGTCTATGTGAGGATATGACCGCACAAAGAGATCAGGTGGGAGAACAGAAGAGGACCAGGTACTGAGCCTTGTGAGACACCAGTGGTAAGTCTGTGGGGAGCAGATGGGGGCTGATCTAGCAGCATGTAGCTTCTCAGTGAAGGCCAAAAGGGCAGTTTCTGTGGAATGTGCCACTTTGAAGCCAGAATGGTTAGGAGGATGTTCTGTGAGATATAGAGAGAGACAGCTGATTGTAGACAGTACATTCAAGGATTTTACAAAGAAAAGAGAGAAGTTATACTGGTCGGTAGCTGATGTCAGAGGGATCCAGAGTGGGTTTCTTCAGGATGGGAATAACCATTGCTCTCATGAATGCAGTTGGTACATAACCAGATGTTATGGAGCCATTGATGATAATAGTGATAAAGGGGAAGAGGTCTTGAGAGATGGTCTGGGATTGGATCCAATGGGCAGGTGGTAGTATTGCAGGACAAGATGATTTGCGGGATCTCTTCTGTTGATAGTTTAGAAAAATGTGCCAGTGAAGGAGAAGGGGAATGCTGAGTGTGTAGTGTAGGAGTTGGGGTAGAACTGAAGGTCTGGCAGATTTTTTCCATCTTCCCATCATAAAAGGTATTGTGCAGCATGTGAGAATCTTGTGCAGATGTTTCCAGCTTTTCCTTGTAGAAGGCAGTCTTAGCAGAAGTCACTTCAGATGAGAATTTGGACAGGAGAGCACTGTAAGAGGCAAGATCTGTGTCGAGTTGTGATTTCTTCCACTTTCTCTCTGCTGTTCTTAATTCTCTCTGATTGGCGTGTATCACTTCCAATAGCCAGGGAACAGGGAAGGAAATCCTTTCCTGGGTTTAAAAGATAGAAGGCAGAGGAGGTCCATGGATGAGGAAAGTGAGGAGAGGAAAGTGTCTGAGGCTAACTCCAATGGTAGGGAGGAAAAGGAGTCAGGGTCTGGAAGGAATGATAGGGTGCAAAGGAAGCTATGGAGGAAGGGGACATAGAGTGGAGGTTTTGACAAGTTGGAGAGAAACATTGATAGTTGGTTTTAGACAGGAAAGGGAGGGTGATGGTGAAGGATACCAAGTGATGATCAGAGATGTGGAATGGGGTAGCATTGATGTCCGTAGCTGGAGGGGGTGGCTGAAGACCAGGTCCAGGGCATTTCCTCATTTGTGTGTGGGAGGGTAGCTGTTGAATGTCAAGGAGAAGGAATGCAGAAGAGGGAGAAGGCAAGAGGGCTTGAGCTTGTCAGAGGGGAGGTTAAAGTCTCCGAGGACAGTAAGGGAGTGCTGTCGGTAGGAAAAAGACTGAGGAGCATGTCCTCAAGAAAGTCCCCTAGGAGACCAGGAGGGCGATAGATGACAATAATGAGAAGGGATCGGGGAGGTAACTGTAACTACATGGAATTCAAAGGATGAGATGTTGAGATGAGTCAGGGAGATAGGTGTGAAGCACCATCTCCGAGACAACAGCAGATCTGTACCACTACCCCTGCCAGCTTCTCTTGGAGTGTGAGAGAAAGCTTAACTGAGTTCTGTGGAGTGTACAGATCAGTGTACACCCTGGATGGGATGCCAATCCATCACAGGGCACCATGCACACACACCTTCACACCTAGAGGAATTTTAACATAGCCAATTCACCTACCTGCTTGTTTTGGGGAGGTGGCAGGAAGTCCACTTTTTCTCTCACCTGTAAGATAAGATTTGGAAAGAGGATGAGCGTGATGACTTATTGTAAGCTCCTACCAGGTAATGCCCTGTCCAGGGAATACAACAAGAAGTGTTATGATCCCTTACAGCAAATTTGATATATGGTTTATGCTAGTTCTTGAAGGAAACTGCCCTCGTTTCCAGAACATAAGGAAGTAGAATGGTAGGTTATGAATGTGTCCATGCTTCTACAAGTAAGTGAAGGACTGAGAGGCAATTTGGGCTGCGCAGGTTGACAAGAATGACATTAATAGCTACTTAGAGATGCTATGCAAATTGTATAATAACTGTATGAGATTGTGCTTTTGTGCTGGGCCCCAATACATTAGGGCTTTGTTACACCTTATTCTAGATCTTTCTTGCTACACCAAATGCAAGTACTAAGCACCTTTATTTTCAATATATAACAACTGTTGTTACAAATCATAACAGATGGAAATGAATGAGTATGGATTGATAACTAGGCTCCTACTGGTGTACTAAGCAAACATTTACCATTACTACAACCACATACAGAAATATGTTCTGTTAAAAAATACTAAATTAACTAAATTAGAAAAAACTATTCTGGCATGAGGCATCATGGTCGTAGCGCTGCTGCCTCACAGCTCCAGCACCCTAGTTTAGATCTCTGGTTTCCAACATGTCAGTAGGTGGATTTATTACACTAAATTGTCCTTAAGTGTGAATGTGTGTGTACATGGTGCCCTGTCATGGACTGGCATCCCATCCAGGGTGCATTTTATCTTATGCCCAGTGTTCCTTGGGTAGAAGCCTTTATTTGTCACATATACACATCACAGCACAGTGAAACTCTTTTCTTCAAATATTCCAGCTTGCTAGAAAGCTGGGGTCCAAGCACAGGGTCAGCCATGTTACAGTGCTCCTGGAGCAGAGAGGGTTAAAGCCCTTGCTCAAGGGCTCAACAGTGGCAGCTTGGCACTGCTGAGGTTGGGGCTGAAACCCCCGACTTTCTGATCAGTAACCCAGAGCCTTAACTGTCGAGCCAACACTGCCCCAAAACTGTCATTCCCAAACCGGGAGTCAAACCCAGGCCGCCTGACTGAACACCAGGAATCCTAACCACTAGACCATATGGGATTATACAACTAGATTACACAAAGACTATAAGCAATTTGTGGCCCTGTCTTATTGGCATAAATCCTATATGATCCATGCTCAGGCTTAGATGGGAGTTGTTTGGCTTATGGAAAACATCAGAATGTTCATATACAGTGCCTTCAGAAAGTATTCACCCCAGTGATTATTTCTCTTTTTACTGTATTGCAACATCAATTAAGCATATTATATTGGGATATTTTTCTTCTTACTATCTAAAGAAATAAATGTAAATAAAGTATTTAGGTTTACCCCCCTTTCTTTTAGCAATCTATATTAGGACTAGCACTTAATTTTAAAGTGCAGCTGAAAAAATCTGCAGGAATTGCGAGATGCAATCGTGTCACCAGAATTTCAAAGGAATGTTTCCAACATCTTGTGGAATCTATGCCATGAAGAATTGGGGCTGTTCTGAGAGCAAAGGGAGGCCCTACCTAGTAGTATAGTGCTCCTAATAAAGTGTTTGGTGGGTGTATGTTAAACAGGGTACACCTGTATTAATTTTAAATCACCTATGTTCAGTTGTACTGTATGCTTGCACAATAAATATCTCAGACATTAGAAGATAAAAAAAATAAATAAAATGTCAGATCAAAAACCTAAAATGTCAGATCAGATCAGTCCTGCTCTCATGAAGACCTGGAAACTGCTCATGAAGCTTCAAGATGAACTTCTTAGGAATACTATGAAATCCATTATAACAAAGTGGAAAAAAATATGGTACAACCCAGACACTACCAAGATCAGGCAAAGAAGTGTCCAAGAGTCCAGCTACAATACTGAAGGGGTTACAGAACTCATTGGCTGAAATAGTAGAACCTGTGAAGACCTCAACAATATCATCAGCTCTTCACAGACTTGGCCTCTATGGGAGAGAAACCAGAAGAAAGCCACTTCTGAGGAAGGCCATGTTAGAAAATATGAGAGATTTTGGAAAAAGATTTTATGGTCTGATGAGACAAAATTTGAGCTATTTGGTCTAAAGCCAAAGCATAATGTTTTGGAACAAATCAAACATAGCCCAACACCTAAGTAACACCATACTGTGAACAAGGTTCTACATGGTAGCACCATGCTCTAGGGCTGCTTTTCAGCAGGAGGAACTGGAAAGTTTGTTGCCATCACAGGCAACATGGATGGGGTCAAATTTAAGCAAATCGTTGAGGAGAACCTTTTCCAGTCAGCCAGACATCTGCAATTAGGGCAAAAAAATATATTCCAACAGGACAATGAGCCAAAGCACAGGGCAAAAACTACAAAGGAATGGAAAAAAGAAGGTTGTGCTTTGGAATGGCCAATTGAAAATCTATGGCATGACCTGAAAATTGCTGTTCACCAACATTCTTCATCTAATTTGGCAGAGCTGGAGAAAATTTGCATTGGGGAATGGAAGAAAATACCAAAATCAAAATGTGTAGCGCTTGTAGAGACACATCCAAGACAAGTCAAAACTGTGATTGCTGCAAAATGACAACTCACACTAAAGAGGTGAATACTTATCAATTAAGCAGTTTGTAGATTTTTTCCCAAATATTTCTGAGGAAAATTTAATTAGAGAGGAGTGCAAAAAAAAAAAAAAGAGAAATAATCATAAATGAATGCGGTGAATACTTTCTGGTATATGTGTGTTTTTGTTTTGCACATCCTAACTACATAACCCATATGTTCCCAATAAAATATCCAGAAAGAAAAGGAAGAAATGATGAAAAGAAGTGGGACAGCTGCTGAAGTCAGGAAGCTCAGAGCACTTTGAGGACTGCGGGCAGGTTGGGCACATGACGTCATTCAGTAGGAGTTCAGTTCCGCGTTGAATCTCTGCTGCAGGAGCTGAATGAAGTTGACAGGCAGCTAGTGTTGAACGTTAAACAGCAGCTCTGTTCAATACATTCCGGTATATCTCATTTCTCATCATGCTAACACGGATGAGATCAGCCGTTTCCAACATGATCGGCGGCATCATGGCTTCTGGTGGTGGTGCAAACGAGGCGAGTGAGAACAACAGCGGTACAAATATACCGCCGAGATTCCCGTACTGTCGACCCGATTTCCTCGGCCTGTGTGCGGATGAGCTGGAGTGTTTGACTGATCACATCACCAGACCGATCCTGAGCGGCAAGGAAAGCAACCGGCTGCCCTGGTCCACTGGCTATGCAGAGTAAGCAGAGGCGTTCAGTTCCCTTCAGCACTCCAGGTTGTAATGTTTTCTCTGCAATGCACCTGCGTCTCATCAGCTAGTTATCTAATTCTTCATGAGGTTAAAATGTGCAGTGTTGCAGGAGGGGGCTTCAGCAGCACGATTATTCGCAGTGTGAATATACTAAACAAGATAAACAAGAGAAATATAGAGCAGAATTATTAGCCTATAGTACAAAATGCTGACTCGCTCATTCTTGCTAGGCTTCCACAGCCCTGATTTATTTATAGGAAAATGTTCAATATACAACAACAACAATAATAATAATAATAATTCATTATTATTATTAACAACAACAATACTAATACTACTAGTACTACTACTAATAATAATGAAGCATTATTATTATTATTATTATTATTATTATTATTATTATTATTAACAACAACAATAATAATAATAATAGTATTATAACAAGGTGCTGTAGCTTGTTTTGATTCTATAACCAGAAAATCACAGAAAATTACAGAAAATCTGGCCAGGTGCGCATTGCTGCTCTGCGTCACACCATCCAGGTTACACACACACACACACACACACACATACACACACACACACACACACAGAGCTATTCCCTATGGCTTTGTCTACTTTTTATTATTATCTATCCTTTACTTTCAGTTTGTTTTACATTCTCAATCTTTTGATACATGCGGTGTATCAAACTTCTAAATCCGCCCTGCTGCGTGGCTACATGGTGTTAGTCTGCGTCACTATAAGAGGCAATAGACCAGTGCAGGCATTTTCAACTTGTAAGCAGCTGGTCTCCTGGCCACACTAAAAACCTCTTCTAGGCAGAGAATAGCTCTATACTACAAATACCAGGTTGCTTTAATAGAGCCATTAGTGGATGGAATGATCAATATATTGACTGACTTGATGTTAGTGAATCGTTAAAAGGTGCAAAGGCATATACATATTAAGGCATAAGTAAGAGATCAATAAATATTTTGCAGATAAAATTTTGCAGAGTCACTGCAAATGTATCCAAAGTTATCATGTGTGATCACCTTTATCCTATCATGAAACATTTCTAACTATCTTGATGGGCGTGCTCTCTTCCAGGATGACAATGCCCTCACCCAAAGGCCATGAGTGCTCACTGAATTGTCACTGAGTTCTCAACAAAGTTCAAAACCTATTGGACATTTTGTACACTTTATGTTGTTTTTTCCTTTAATTTTTCACCCATTTATATGCCAACAGCTTCCTCAGTCATGTGCAGTCAGGTCAGTCTACTCTGTTCGACGTCAAAGAAGACATTCTGACTTTTATTAACAAATATCCTCCTTCACCCTGATTTTTTACAGTGTATGTGTAATGAAGTATGTTAATGTCAGTCCCTGAGCTCCCGTCTGGAGCCCAGAAAGCTTTAGATCTTTAGTCAGTTATGTAACCTGATCTGCCCTGCCAGTAATAATGAAATCATCAGCATAGTCAGTAGCTTTTTCTCCTTACAGTTAGGGGGAATATTTTCTCTATTTCAGTTCCTGAGTAAGTAAGATATAGAAGAAAAGAAGTCATTTTGAGAACGTGAAGAATCGTAGCAACAAGTTTACAAGATCTGTTTTCCTTTTTAAACAAATCACATTAGTTTTTATTATGCTGTAATATAATAATGGTTAATCCCAATAAAAGTTAAACTGTTTTTAAGCACTTCCACTAAATAACTTAAAACAGGGGCATATAAACTTCATTCAATGCACAGGGTGTCACAGATATGTCTATCATAGTGTATTGGAATTGGATATAAATAAAGAATATATAATAATAAATAAATAAATAACCAAAAAAAAAAAAAAAAATAATGAAAAGAGTAGACTTTTAGCTTCAATTTGCAGTATTTACATCCAAACCGGTTGAATGGTGTAGTAATTACAGCACTTTGTGGCACCCCCTATTTCAGGGACCAAAAGTAATTGGACAAACTACCATAATCATAAATAAAAAAATTTAATACTTGGTTGCAAGTCCATTTTAGTTAAGGACTCTTTTAAAAATTCATGAAAGGTTTTCCATAATTAGTGGTTTCCAGATCTTTTGAAATCACCCATTGAAATTGTGACAACACTGTCTGCTGTCACTGTCAGGTGAAGGAAAAAATTGAAATGCATTACTGTTAGTTATTGTTGTATCTGTTTAGGGTGATTAATGCTGGTAAGAGTGCTCTGAATGAAGACCAGGCCTGCTGTGAGGTGGTGGAGCTGAGGAAAAGACCTGCTGATCCCGCCAGTCCAAGCTACACTCCCACCACCAGGAGGCGATCTTCACTACCGACCAGAGACTCTCTGGAGTCTAAAGAGGACTCTCTCATTCAGGAGAGCTCGGTGAGTGCCTTATCCCACTCCATTGCTCTTACACCTTGTCTCTTCCAACATGCAGCAGTGATGTCCTGAATGTTCTGAAAAGTCCATCTGAAAAGTCCAAATCTCTAGGATGTTTCCAACCACATATGAACTAACCATGTAGATAGCATGCTCTGAGATAACATGTCACACCTTATAGTTTTATTTGTGCCAAAATCTGGCATTTGATAATCTGGGACACATTTATTAGGTTTAGAAAGGTCAGTAGAGATGTTTTGTGCTGGAATAAGAATAGAGTCTTAGATGTTTTTAAGACGTTCCTGTATGCAAAAATGAACCAAGCTAAATATACGTATTGCAGGTTAACCCTTCCTACTAAGTAAAGTTATTTAGAGACATAAATTCCTTGAATGCTATAACCCTGGCATCACTGATCACTCCATCAACCTCCAAGTTCCCTCTTCCAAGTTCCCTCCTTTACC